TAACGCGACAAATCCGAACAACACATCGTCGTTCTTGAATGTTCTTCGTAATGTTTGCGGGAACGGTACCGGAAAAATGAGCCCCCAAGCATCCCATCCCGTATTAATGTGCATATTTCAAAACTGCGCACTTCCTGCTGAGCCCTGCGCTGCTTAGGCACTGAAACCTGCCCGCATAATCATACGTAATTATGATTTAATTTTGATGTACATCAATCTTCATTTTGTTGCTGTAGAGTTAGGATGGACTCATCTTTCGCTGTTTTACGACGTACGTTGCCAAAAAGTAGATAAGTAAGGTGAGCATGTTTTTGAAGGCATCATTTTTGGGGTGGATGGTCAAACGTCGACTGGAGAATTATAGTCCAAACAAATAAATATACTATCGAAAGTTTAACGTAAATGCTAATGCTCTTATGGACTAAGGGATGATAACTTAGGACTAAGAGCAATAAGTAAAACCGGTTGACGAATATCATTGATACTGACAACGTAAAATAATCTGAGAGCAGATCACGACAACGGAGTACGCCAGCGATGCGGGGATTGTTCAGCCGTGTTGTTCCCGTCAAGTTAAAACAGGCATACGGTAAAAGAAAACGGGACGAGATCGCCAAAGGTGAATTAGTCGGGTACCTCGACACAAGTTACATTTCCGTGGTCGATAACAAACGCATACGCCTACCAACTATGCAAGCATGCATTTCAGGGGTATTGGTTTAATTTTAATCTTGCCCACTTAGGATACGTGAATAAAAACTAATAATCCTAGGAGAAGAGGCAACAGAAGAATAAACAACACGTGTCATATGATGCGGAACAAATAATCCCCTCCGTAACACTCCTTTGCTCGTGCTGCTATTTTCCACAATATAATGTTACTCTATTTGCCGCTGTCAAGTAAGTTCTAAAGATAATAAAGGATCACTTGTGGGACGTAACGCCACAGTTACTGAACTTTAAATTCAAACTCAAAAATGTATACATCCGCACCGTTCGAAAATTTCTGGAGGGCGAGCACTCCACCAGGAACGCCAATGCAAAACGTAGGATTAGTCGAAAACGCTGAAATAATGGATTGTACGATAGTAAAGTGACAGTTCTACCATCGCATCCAACGATGTCCACCGCGTGCTCCACAGCAAGCTGAAGCAGGCACGGCGAATTGCGCGTGAATTATTTCATAGTGAGAGTGGACTTGCACGAAATCTACCGCACTCCTCCATCCCGCCTGGGCCCGGTGTCAAGATAGAGTCGAAAAAACTGGAGGAGGGAAGGCGCAGGTGGATGGGGCGGCCGAACTCCGCACCTTGGCGTTCAACTCCACACCCCCTGGTCCTCCTCAAAAAATTGATCAGGATTCTTACCAACAACTACAACAGAAAAGACGTGGATGACTGGGCAGCCATGCAAATACCTGTATACCCAGCGCGAGCGCAAGCGCATTTACTGCCAGAGAACCAGGTATTGGAGAACTGCCAGCGCACACCAGGCTGTGAGGGCCATGGTTTGCTGATCATGTCATAGCAGACACTTACGGACTTTTAGGCCCAGAAGGGTGACACACAGCTTTGCATCTGCCTGGGTTGGGTAATCAGTCAGTCAGTGACTGAAAGACACCACCCGTTAAATAACACACATAACTCTCGTGCATAATAGTGTGAGATGTCACTTTAAGAAGCAGCCGTCGCAGTTT